TTTTGTCTTATATACCCACTTAACTCCAATGGTTTTTTTATCAATTGGAAGGGAAGTAAGTTCCCAAGTGTCATTCTTCTCTATTGCATGGATTTCTTTTTCTATCGCTTTCACCTAACAATCATCATTGGCTGCTTTCTCGTACACAACTGGATTACAATCTGCAAACAAAGCAAAATTGACAATATCTTCGTCAGAAAGAATATAATTTGGTGCAATAACATAATCCTGCAGATGAGCTGGCGTCTGTCGCTGACTTTGGGGACGTCCACTTAACTCAGTTTGTGGACCCTCAGCAATTGGTGATGGTTAAATATCATAATTATCCTCCTCTTGCTGATAATTTAGAGTCGCCTCTGCTGTCTCAAAATCTCTAGTAGACCAATCCCAAAACCTCTTTCATCAAAAGTCACATCTCTACTCACATCATCTCTTTTGTTACAAGATTATACAACCTGTAAGCTCGAGAGATTTCACTATAACCAATAAATACACACTTCTCTTCCTTATCATCAAGTTTTTTTCTTAATTGATCAGGAATGTGGGAATAGGCAATACACCCAAAAATTTTGAGATGATCAACAAATGGTTTTCTACCACTCCAAACTTCTTCAAGAGTTTTTTTGGAAACACTTCTGGTAAGACACCTGTTTAACAGATAAATTCCATAAGAAAGTCCCTCTGCCAAAAATAATTTTGGCATATATTTTAATTTCAATATACACCTTACTATATTTATAACTTTCCTATCTTTCCTCTCCACCACTCCATTTTGTTGGGGAGTGTGCCTGGTAATCAACTGATACTGTATCCCATTTTTCTCAAGAAAATCATCACACATCAAATATTTTTGACCCTTATTTGTTCTCAAAATTTTAATCTAACACCTAATTTGCCTCTCAACAAAAGTCTAAAAAATTTTACAAATATCACAAGCATCAGATTTTTGTTTTAAAAATTACACCCAGGCATTTCTACTAAAATCATCAATAAAGGTAATAAAATACCTATAACCACCATTAGAGAGAACCTCTATGGTGCATATATTTGAATGACTAATTTCTAATGATTTTCTGGCCCTCCATGATTTACCAATCTGAACAGCATCCCTATGTTATTTTTCCAAAACACACATATCACAGATTCTACCAGAATTTTTAATATTAGCCAATTTGTCAAAAAATTCAAACTTTCAAAATTCAAATGATCAAATTGCATATGTCACAACCAATTACTGTCAACTATTATTATACTCGAATAGAAAAAATTGGCAATACTCAAATTTAGTGAAAATAAGCGATTTGAAGTTATTGGTACACTAGCAATCATTCCTATCAAAAAGTGCAACTACTATTTTTGATACGAATATCATATTTTTTTTTTCAGACAACTGGCTCATACTCAATAAATTTTGATGCAACCTAGGAACATAGAAAACATCAAAAATAAAATCAATAGACCCATTTTTCAGACTAATAGGAATTTTTCCTTTATCAATTACTGGTAAAACAGTGTTATTCCCAAATTTAACTTTACCATGGATAGATTCATCAAACTCAACAAATAATTCTTTCTTGTCAAACATATGGTTACTGCAACCCGTATCCAAGTACCATTTATTTTATCAACTACATCAACAGCATTACATGCTAATAATAAAGTTTCAAAATTTTTATTATCATCCTACACTTGATTGTCGACAACATTAGTTTGAAAATTTCTGTCTACATTTTTTCCAAATCTACATTCAAATTGTCTATGACCCAATTTTTCACAATTATAACATTGAACTCTCTCTCCAAAATTATTCTGAAACTTATTTTGATTAAAATTATTTTCTCTGTCAAAACTACTACCTCTGCTTCTACTAGAACCACCTCTAAAGTTGCAGGATTCGATGTACCTCGTCAACCTCTATTATTATTATTGCTACGACCACTTCTATTATTGTAACCACTTCTATTCCTTTGACTAGATTCGCCTTGCTCCTTAACATCATTATTGCCTCTCAAATTCAACTGCACCTGCAACGCCTTCTTTACTATATCCTTCTTTGGGTATCCTTTAATTTTTCATTAATTCTTTGTTCATGCAGAATTAATGACCCATGCAAATCTTTAATATTCAAATCCTCCAAATCTTTCGTTTCATGGATTACAGCTACCACATGATCAAATTTTATGGGTAGGGTATTGAGAATTTTCTCAACAAATGTTCTGTCAGAAAGGTCATATTGATTGAGTTTCTTCTCGTTTTTAATATCTGACAAACGAAAAAAATATAACTCAATCGATTCTGACTTCTCCATCGTTGCAAGTTCAAATTTCCTCTTCAACATCATCAAATTATTTTGCTGAACTCTGTCAATCCCTTTGTATGTTTTGTCCAATATGTCCCAAGCCTCCTTTGCCGTATCAACTGTAGCAATTTTTCCAAAAACTGACATGTCAATTGCTTGATGAATTCGTGACAAAAACCAAACTATCTTTTGCCTTATCATCTTCACTGGCATCCCGAGCAAGTGCAGATTCAATATAACGATGTAATTTACATGCTTTGAGATGGGTTATCATTTGTTTTTGCCAAAATTTGAACTCCGCCTTTGTTTTGAGTTTTTGGACAGAATAAATAATATTGGGATTAAGGTTTGTCATACTTCAATCTAACACAGTTCTGATACCAATTTATAGGATTCAAACAAATAAACACACATAAACCTCCAGAAACAATCTCAAGAATTTACATATGAGGCAAAGGAAAAGAAATTCTCTTCGATTACTCAAAGGAGGTTGTGGCTACAAAGTACAAAACCCAAAAGGCAGAGGTTTTATATAACCTATGTACCCTATAGACTTGCCCAACTTATTAGTACTACCAATATGGGATTTTATCCCATGTGACCAACTTTAGACTTGCCAACAAAACTAGTCAATAAAGAAATGACATCTGGCCAGTAAAATAAAACTAACCAATCAACACTAACTTGGTTTATATTTCTACAACTTTTACGGTGTCCCTTTTGACAATTTTGGTGATGTGATTTGTTGAACTTGGAGGGCATGCTTCCTCTTTCTTTTTTTATTTTTTGAACAATTTTGGTGATCGGATTACATGGAGTGGAGGTCCCCTGTTTTGTCGGAATCCAGGTCTACTGGTTTTCTTTCAAGGATACACAAATATTGGCTTAGCAGTGTGGACGGCTCTCAACATGTTCTGAAAAAGAACAAGAATCAATAGCTAGTAGAATGTTTGTTTTTTCAGATGTTTGCAACTGGGGAAAAAAAGAACAAAAAAAAGAAAGGATGTTGCATTATAAGACGTAAAAGGTACACTTAATCACCGGAGTTAGCTCAGTAGGCAGTGACGAGCTTTTAGAATTCTCTGTATTATCAGATTTTGGATTCGAATTTTTTTGTTTAATACTATTACCAAATAGTAGAATTTTACTGTCATTTAATATGAAAACCACTCTTCCGGGAAAATGATGTATAAGAGCCAAGTTGCTAATTTAGAAACTAACATATCTCTTAAAAATTTTGCTAAAAGATAAGTTGCAATTTGGTAGAAAATTTGCGAAAAGTCAAATAGCAACTTCCATTTTCTTTCTTTAAAAAAAAATTTTGATGTAGATCCCATACTGTATTGGATAAATGCATGAAAGGATAATTTCTTGTCGCTGGTCCTCCTATTTATTACTCGCACCAAAAGCAAGGCAAGTTTACCCAAGGAATTGCTCCATTATCTTCATATAATTCAGACTACATTCTAATTTCACTGTTTTCTCAAGATATTCTTATTTCTTGGAATTTCTTCGATCACAGACTCTATACCAAACCTTTTCTGCAAATTTAGTAGTCACAATTTTTTATTTCACTACAGCATTAGTTCTTCATTACCACCAATTCACCAAAGGAGTAGAAGAGAAAGAGAAGCATCATCAAGCTGTGGACTGACTTGTGAGCTGCAAATCATTTGAAGCACTCGTAAGTTTCATTTTGCTTTGACTTGGCCACATTTTTAATTTTCAATTTTTGCAATTTCTTTGCATTTTGCTAAAATTCGTGTCATATGGTCTTGGAAAAATATTGTTCTTTATTTTTATTGTTGTTATTGTTAATTTTTTTAAATATAAATTCTACAATCAGTTTCCAGTTTCCATTCAAGTTTGCATGTGAACGTCTGAAGTTGAGAATGAGGTGGTCAAAACAATTTTAGTTAGAATATTTTAATTGATTTTCTATTAAGTTTTTAATTTTCAAAAAAAAGAAAAGAGATTTTCATCTTCCTTTTCAAAATTCGTCTACTCATCAGTTAATTTTCATAAAGAGAAAAAGAAAAAGGAAAGGATTTCCTTTTCAAAATCCACAAACCAAACAAAAAGAAACAACCTTTTTAGAGATCATTTTCCTTTCCTTAATACTTTCGTTCATAACCAAACAAGATGAGGAATTTACTTTTCTTTTCTTCAATTTCCTTTTCCTTGCTGAATTTCCAGAACAAATAGGGCCTGTGTACTAGGAATCTGCCCCCCATGCTATGGTGATGTTAATGCGCTTATTAGTGTAAATCCTGGTTCATCTAGAGTTCAAATTGCTGGAAACGAGTTTAATTTTTAAACTATTGATCCCATGCCCATAAGATTTGTAGAAAGAGGATAATTTTGAGTTTATATGGAGATTGATTTGAGTTTTAAAACTAAAAATGTCTTCCGTTTCCAAATCACTGTTCAAATTATAAACTTCAAAAAAAGTGATGGCATATTCCATAATCAACCTAAGATAGTCATGAGATGGTGTCATCTATTTTGAATGATACCCTAAATTTCAAGTCTTTATAGCGCTCTCTTTAATATTTTGGATGCACCTTGGAAGAATATTCTTTCCACAATTTATCTTACAAGGCTAGAATTCTTTCAAAGCTAACCAAATTTGGTGTTTTGAATACCATGAAGCAGATAAACAAAAGTTCAGAAAGTACTTTTTTTCTTATGCACTTTTTCTGGTACGCTAGTAGAATTGGGTTGAGTATGTCAAACATATAATGATGGTTGTGATCTTCCTGCTTTAATAACTGTACAACTTTGGCTGCCAATTCATTATAATTAAATAAACAAAAAGATCCTGCAAGCCAAAAAGGTTAAGCCACACCGAATGAACTGATGTTCATGTTCTTTCTTTCTTTCTTTGAGCTTGGCTCTCCCAATGAAAATTATTGCAGGTCTCTCTCTCTCATTGGTTTACTTGTGCAAGTCGCTTTCACTTTTACCTCTGCCTAGATATATGGCTGCTGCCTTAGTGGGAGGCTCATTCCTCTCCGCTTTCCTTCAAGTGCTATTTGATAGGATGACTGCACCGGAATTCCTAAATTTGTTTAGTAATCAGAAGGCCGATGATGATCTCCTCAAGAATCTCGAGAGTAAGTTAAGCACTGTTGGAGCCGTGCTCGATGATGCAGAGAACAAGGAAATATGGAACCAATATGTCAAGAAATGGCTTGAAGAGCTTCATGATACATTTTATCAAGCAGAGGATTTACTGGACAGAATGAACACTGAAGCCCTGCGAATTAAGGTAGAAACTGAGTATGAAAGCTCAACCAGCACTTGTACAAGCTCCTTGAGAAGATTATGCTTTGAAAGGATTCTGCCTTGTACATCTTCGGGTGATAAGTTTCTTAGGAGGATCATGCCTGAGATGGAAACAATAGTGATGAGGCTGGAGGGATACATACAGCAAATTACTCCCTTGGGTTTGCAGGTTGGTCATTCCAAAAGACAGTCACATCAACAATTTGAAACACCTTTGGTTAATGAGACTACTATTTTTGGGAGAGATGCTGATAAAGAGAAGATAATTCAAATGTTGCTCTCCGAGGATGCAGACAGAGAAAATATCATTGTGGTTCCAATAGTTGGACTGGGTGGGCTCGGTAAGACCACCTTGGCTCGAATGATTTACAAAGATTCGAGGGTGGAAGTGAGTTTTCCTACCAGGGCATGGGTCTGCGTATCAGAAGGGTATGATGCTACCAGGATAACAAAAGAACTTTTAAGGGAACTCAATATTTCTTTTGTTGACAGTGATAACTTGTTCTCCCTTCAAGTGAAGCTACAAGGCGGCCTAGCTCAGAAAAAGTTCCTTCTTGTTCTGGATGATGTTTGGAATAGTAACTACAATCAGTGGGATAATTTAAGGAGCCCTTTCAATGTTGGATCATGTGGAAGTAAGATCATTGTCACAACACGAGATCAGAATGTTGCAAGGATGATGGCCAAAGAAAGGTCAATTCATCATCTGAATTTCATACAAGAGGAAGATTGCCGGTCATTATTTAAGAAGCATGCATTTGAAAATAAAGATGGCAATGAAAATGCAGAACTTGAAGAAATAGGAAACAAAATTGTTAAAAAGTGTGTGGTTTGCCTTTGGCTGTGAAAACAGTTGCGGGTATTTTGCGTTCCAAAACAACCCCCAAAGAATGGGAAGAGATTTTAGCAAGTGAAGAGTGGACTCAAATGGATAATGAAAATGGCCCCATACCAGCATTGAGATTAAGCTACATTCATCTTCCTTCCGATCTTAAGAGGTGCTTTGCTTATTGTGCTGTGTTCCACAAAGATTACCAGTTTAGAAAAGAGAAAATAATTCAGTTATGGCAAGCTAATGATCTTTTAGGGTATCCTGGAGAAAATAAAAGAATTGAAAACAAGGCTGAGAAGTACTTTGATGAACTGATAATGAGATCATTATTTCATAAGTCAACTGACCATACTTTCTCCATGCATGACCTTGTCAACGATTTGGCTAGGTTTGTTTTTGGGAAATATTGCCTTAGGTTGGAAGATTATCAGGAAGGCGATGCTACAGTATCTGGTGCAAGACATTTTTCATACCATCCTAGTGTGTCTGACACATTTCATAAGTTTAATCTCTTGAGGGGGACTAAGAATATAAGAACATTCTTGCCATTGAGAATGCGTCAAGACTTGGATTGTAAATTTTCTCTAAGCAACAAATTTTTAGAGGATACCTTGCCCCAGTTCATGTCTTTAAGGGTTCTATCTTTGTCCTATTATGAGAATATTCTGAAGTTACCAAACTCATGGAGTGGTTTGAAACAGCTTCGATTTTTGGAACTCTCTTCTACAAAAATAAAGGAGCTACCGAAGTGGATATGCGGTTTCTATAATCTACAAACTTTGTTGTTGTCAAAGTGCAAAGAACTTGAAGAGTTGCCAGCAAATCTGGGAAAGTTAATTAACTTGTGTTGCCTGGATATTAGTGAAACTCCACTGAAGAAAATGCCACCACAAATAGGCAGACTAATAAACCTTCAAGTCTTGACTTCTTTTGTCATAGGCAAAGACAATGGTTTGACAATTAAGGAGTTAGGCAAGCTTCCTATGTTACGTGGTAAGCTATTCCTTTCTGGGCTGGAAAATATTTCTAGTGGTAGGGATGCATCCTTAGCGAACATGGAAGGCAAGAAAAACCTTGAAAAGTTAACTCTCAAGTGGGACGGTGATGCTAACAATTCACAAGTTGCAAAGGATGTGCTTGATAAACTACGACCTCATTCGAGCATTAAGTATCTTAAAATAGAAGGATATTGCGGGACCACATTTCCAAATTGGCTAGGCAACCCGTCATTAAACCGTTTGGAATCCTTAAGTCTGTCTAGTTGTGAATATTGTCATTCCTTGCCTACACTTGGGCAGTTAAGGTTCTTGCAATCACTTGAGATTGTTGGAATGCCTCATGTATTAGCCTTGACACAGAATTTTTATGGAGATGTCAATGCAACCAAACCATTCCCATCTTTAAAAAAATTGAGAATTGAGAAGCTGCTAGAGTGGGAGAGATGGCACATACCAGAAGATGAAGTCTTCAATAGACTCGAAGAGCTCAGGATAATTGATTGTCCCAGACTAATTGGAGAATTTCCCCAACAATTTCCGTCACTACAAAGACTTGAGATATCTGGCTGCGATAGTCTTGTGCATCCTAATGGTCAATTGAGCATCTTGAATGGAGAGATTCAACAAAAATTTTCATCTCTTTGTCAATTGAAGATTTCAATTCTAAAGAATTTGAAAGAGTTGCCCATAGAGCTCAACCAATTACACAAACTTGAGGGATTGACAATTGATGATTGTGGGTCTCTCTCAACCTCCCACGCGAGTAGACCACCTACCTCACTTAAATCACTTGCGTGCAAGAGATGCTGCAATTTGGAATTAGGGGGTTCAGACTGGGAGGGTGGTGGGAACTTGGAGTACTTGAAAGTCGAGAATTGTGACTCTGTCAAAGTCAAAGTCGAGTGGCTTGCCTCGTTTCCCGTGCTAAAATTTTTTATTGTCTTGAACTGCAAGAGTATTGAGATGCTCTCAGTTCTTGCTACACCGGCACCTGGGATTGGGAATCAGAGTGGCATGACAACTACTACTACTGCAATGATGTCACTTCAAGTCTTATATATCTTAAGCTGCAATGATCTAATGTCTTTTCCAGAGGGAGGATTGGCAGCCCCCAATCTAACGCAGATTGTTATCGAAGATTGCGAGAAGCTCCTGTCACTGCCGCAACGGATGGAATCCCTCCTCCCGTCTCTTCGATTTCTAAAGCTAGAAAATTGTCCAGAAATTGAGTGCTTCCCGGAAGGGGGTTTGCCCTCTAGCCTACAAATCCTTGAAATCTTGAGGTGCAAAAAGCTCATGAGTCGCCGAAGAGAGTGGGGTTTGGATAAACTCCCCTCTCTTACGGACTTGTGGATTGTGGGTATCAAGGATGGAGTAGAGTTATTTCCAGAGGAGGACTGGCAGCTGCCTTGCACGCTTCAAGCTCTCTTGTTGCAGTCCCTTGAGAATCTAAAAATGCTAAACTATTCGGGTCTTCGGCACCTCACCTCTCTTCAACGCCTAGTTATCGGCTTTTGCCACAGACTCCAGTCCCTACCAGAAGAGGGACTGCCTGCCTCTCTCACCACATTAGATATCTCCGATTGCCCAATGTTGAAACCAAGGCTAGAATGGGAGAAAGGACAAGACTGGCCCAAGATTGCTCACATCCCTTGCCTAATAATCGATGACGAGCTAGTTCCTTGATAATGACACCGATTACAGGTGAGGGCTTGCCTTCCAAAGTTACAAGACCCCCACCATCATCTATTTATATAATAATTAAAGGTACTTGTTGTTTTTTCAATTTTTTTTTGTTTTCTTCATATATTTTATTCTCTCGAAATCCTCTAGAGCCTCAAAATGCAAAATGATTGCAGTGCGAATTGCCTGCTATGAATAACTAGGATGTGCTGAAAGAACAGTTGAAGTAGTGGCCGTTACTGGTGCAACAATCTCATAATATATTACTTTCTAGCTATAGATTTCACCATTTGTATTACTTTTTCAACTTTTTTTTAAAATAAGAGCCCATGCTTTTGGTTCATTTTTGCACCCTAGATTCCAATCATGTAGGCCACAAACTTAGGCAGACAAATGTTTTCCTTGGTAGCTACTGATGGAGAACAAAAACCTGCAATAATTAGATTGTTCTTAAACTTTCTAAATGTTTTCTGTGCTTTCTTTGATACATTCGATAATTTTTTGTTTGAAGCTATAAGCTTATTTTGCCTGACTCGTTTTATAATCCTTTAATTCTACTTTAAACTATAATAGAACACAATTTGCTTCTTCTAAAGAGCAGGTATAAAGTACTTTAATCTTGTCAAAATTTGACGTATCTGCCAGGACATGGGTTGCTCTCTCCCAGTCGAGATGATACCTTTCTCAGTATTCTAAGGACCATGATTGCTCTGTCTTCGGCCATTGCAAAATGGGGGCGAGTGAGCTCCATCTTTGCAGTAGATTAATATTTATAGAATGGCGGCCATTGCAGAGTTGCTGACATTATTTTCAGAGTAGAGAAAGGAAGAAGATTAGCACAAGGTAGCTCATATTTCAAGGATGTCAATGATAAACTTATCCTGTGATCAGTCATGCACTTTCAGTTTACATTACAATTATTATTACTTTTGGTTTGTTGGCACTTCAGTTTGTTTCCCTGACATCAAGATTTGTTCTTCCTCTATGCCATAGTTATGGTAACTCTTAAAAATGTTTTGAACACTACATAGTACAATGTAATGTAAATATTTCGCATGTTTTATTCAATTCCTATTAGGGGAACTGTTATGCACCCATTCTGTACGAGTATTTGTTCTTGATGGCATCTTTGAAGGCTTGCTATTTTCCTGTTTCTATTAATTCCTGGATTTCCTTTATTTCTTTCTTCATCATTATGCAATTGCAGGACATCTTCTCTAAGATTTCACCAAACTAAGTGCTTCCATACTTATTATGCCTATTTTAAACTATTCCAGCACTTTCTTTTGCAAATTTCATTTTTATTTTGAGGTTAATTTTCTGGTTTATTGAACAATTTTTTATGGTAAGATACAGGTAACTTCCACATATCTTTAACTTCCTTGGTTTTTCGTACAGCAAGCAGACCAGTATGGAAACCATCAACTAGAAGATCACAAGCCAGAACCTGTCATGCATATATGTTTTTCAGGCCACAACATCATGCTGTCATTATTCATCGCATTATGGTAAGGTTTTTAGATCTAGAATTGCCATAGCCCCTTCAAAATATAGTCTAGACTTGGGTTGGTTGGGAATGGTATCACGGGTTTAGACATGAGAGATAACACAGCTACTGGGATTTATGTTGTGTTATTCAAGCAATTCAAGGTACACATAAAAATAATATTTCTATTCATATGAAAAGTAGTGTGAATCAGAAGGTTACCAGGCTTAGGTGCCCGTTGTTGGTTTCAATGGTATTGAACCTTTTTGACGTGGTAGCATTAGGCATGTAGAAGGCACCATTGCTGGATATTTCTTTGTGTTTGATCCTAAATAGATGAAGAGTTCATCAAATTAATTTGGAGAGTAGAAAGGAGTGCAAAAAGAAAACGGGTAGAAAACCAGTGATGGATATTTGTGCTGATGACAGTTATGACTTAATTTCATTCTTATCTTCACCTTGTATGTGTCTGGCTGTTGTCTAAATTTTCAACTTTCTAAGATCTTTCCACACAAAGAAGGTACAAACATCAGATGAGTACATTTTTGACAATAACCATCAATAATTCTGAATAAACAGAAAGGTGAATAAATTCAAACAGGTCATTTATTTTAGCCCGTAGTAATAATAAACAGAAAGGAAGCAATAAATACTGAATAATCATTTTTTTCTGAAAAGGAAAAAAGGCAACTAATTTGAAGTGGTTTCTAATGTCTCTTCCCCTTGTATGTTGTTCCCATGGAGTACAATTGACTGCACTCTATCTCTGGTATAGCTTCTTTAGTTATGTATTTGCTGCATAATCCATCTCTAATGCTCTGCTTCACTTCTGACATTTTCATATTTATCTTATGCAACAAGATATTTTGGGTAGGTTGCACTTTGTATTCTTTTTTTTTTTTTTTTTTCTTACGCGATGGGTATCTGGGGCCATGGACTGGTAATACCGTACGCCCCAACTAATCCCACTGCGTGGCCGGGAGAGGTTGCACTTTGTATTCATTGTAAATATTTTCATATATTCCTGTAGACCTTTGATAAATTGGAATGAATATCTGTAATTCAAGCATGCTTCTTGAAAAAGAGCTGATACTCAAAGATGGCATTTGCTCACCAGTAACTGGGGGATCATCTGTGGTTGCCTTTCCTGCTCTCTCTCTTCCTACTTTCTACATAGGAATTATGTAAAAATTTGAAAGACAAATCATTGTTTACAATTCTTTGTAGAATTGAGACCACGATCATTTAATGCCTCTTTTCAGAAGTATGTATTGCAAGGAGCTCAGTTCGCTGCCTGGAAAGATGCAAGCCCTCGTCGCATCTTTATGTTGAAAAATGTGGCAGCATCATGTAACTGAGAGCTTTTGAGCTAGGTGTTGCCTCCAGACTGCAACCATATCCTTTTGATGGAGGATATTGCAGATTTTCCCTTCTTGGTCAGACTGCAATATTAGTGGCACTGACAAAAAAGAGTTACTTCCATAATACTGGCTCCTGTCTTGCACCCTCGCCATCTTTCACTTGGAGCAGCATAAGAGCTGAAGAACAATGACCTACAAGTGTCTTCAACACTTCATCTATCTTGAAGATATGGAAATTGCTGACTGCTCTTAGCTCTAGTCGCTACAAAAAGAGTTGTTGGTGTCCTCCCTGCTTCCACTATGCATGAAAAATATGGTTTTCATTGTTCAAATTACCATATAATAAGAGAAAGGAGGGGAAAGAATGGCCCCAAGGTTTCTGATATAAACTGCACAGCTTTCAATAGTGAGCTAATTCTATATTGAATCTTGCTTGTCAGTCGCAAGAGCTTGACCTCAGGGGCGTAAAGGTACCGTCTTCCGTTAGATTCATTTTCTTGGAATGCTCCAGTGCCTCAAATCACGGGAGCATCATTTGCTGTGCATATGATCCCTGCTTCTTGATGATAATTTTGTCAACTTACTCTTTAGTTCTTGTTTCGCTTTCAGGATTTTTCTCCATGTTCATGGCCAACTTTGCAAAACAGCTAATTTGCCTACACCAAGGATCCTATCGAAAATGTGCTAGCCACATCATACTTCTTGCCTTGCATTTGCAAATGGCATGTTCAAGAATTTTTCAACATTTGAGATGACATTCGTCCTCGTTTTTTCAGTTCATTCCTTCATAGTCACTTATTAGATTAGATCATGGAAAGACTTTTCCTTTTATGCAATTAACAATACGGGCGCAATGTGTAATTTCCATTGCATTTCTTATTTGGTTTCAATTTTAGTTTTGAATACTCCTGGCATATTTTTGTTTCTATCACATCAGTGAAGTGAATTTGGGAAGTATTAACATGATTGTATCTGCATTCGTCAGAGAAAAACTTCAAATCACCACTATCACATCCACTAAGAAATGGAGATTAGAGTTAAAGAACTAAACGCAAAGCAGATTATGAAACTTCAAAAGGAAATTAAGATTCCAACCCTTTCTGCAACTAATGCAATGGCTATGAGGGCAGCAGCGGGGTACCTTCGTTTGTGTCAGGTGAAGAAAGGGGAGCTTAGTAGCGCTCGAGGCAGCTATTTCTGCTGTGTAGATCTGTGGCTGTAAACTGATGTTTTGCATGGTTTCTGATGGTAGAGCCTTGTGCCAGCTGTATCTGCAATTCTACCGTATCCTTACTTTGTATCATGTAATGAATTTCTTTAACCAAAAGTCGAAAGTTTCCATTGATTATGTATAAAGGGTAAAACTCCTGCCGTGTTACATGATCAAGCTTAGGCATCTTCTGGAATTCTGGAATGCTTTCTTTAGGATTTTGTCATTGGAAGTCTTAATTCTGCTCTTAGAATGACTTTAAAATTATTTTTCACTCTTTTTCCTTCTTATTCCTTTTTATTTTAATTTTTTACCAATAAAATTGTAAAATTATCGCTATTATCTCTACTTTCTATTATAATCAAATATCGAACTAATGATTTTTTTTTATGAGTTAACTTTATACATAATCCGATGCTTTTTGTTGATCTTTTTTTTTTTTCTATTTTTTGGTATTAAATTAACAATAAATCAGAAAATTGCCCCAAAATCACTACAAAATTATGATAACCCCATTACTAAAAAAATTCATAAACTTTGAATCAATTATTTCAACATTTTATTTTCTATCTTATAAATCTAAATCCATAATAAAACACCATTAAAAGTATCTTATCATAGTGATAAAATTATTATTATAGTTGTTTATCAAATAGCAGGTATAGAAATGAAAAATTTGACACCTTTTCTTTATAATTACATTAGATAATCTTATAATTCTATAGGGAAGTAAATTAAAACTCATAACACAAGGGCATTTTTAGGTATTTGTTTAAAAATTTGACCAAGTCAATATTATTTTAAGGTTTTGTTACTAAATCTATCAAATGATTAACTTGACTGGAACTAAAGCAGCATTATATCTTTGGATCCTTGTTATAAAGTAAACACAAAACCAGATTAACTTGCAACAACTGCTTTTATCATAGCCCCTTTTCTCCCCACTATTTGAAAATCGTGAAGATCACGGCCTATATTAGTCTTTTTCCATAATGGATTCCACGTTGATTCATTCTCACTGTTGTTGACTATTGCAATTAATAATGAGATATTAGTTGCATGAATAAATTAAATGAAAAAAAGAAATCTAATTAGAAATTTTATTACCCATTTAATATGATTTTTTCTAAATTGTATCCAGTTTCATTCTAAACCCCTAATGTCACTATTTAAAATTTTTTTAAAAGTTAAGCAGCAACTTGGTAGAAAATTTGCTAATAGTTAAGTAGCAACTTCCATTTTCTTTCTTTACAAAAAATTTGCTACAGGTCCCATACTCTTTTGGATCAATGCACCAGAGGATAATTCCTTGTCCTTTGTCCGCAACTCGTAAGTTTCATTTTTACCTTGACTTCACGGAATCTTTAATTTTTGTATGTTTGCAATTTCTTTGCATTTTGTTAAAATTTGTGTCATATGATCTTAGAAAAAATATGGTTCTTTATTTATTGTCATTATTGTTAGTATTTTTTTTAATATATAGATTCTACATTCAGTTTCCAGTTTCCACTCAAGTTTGCAAGTGAAGGTCTGAGGTTGAGAATGAGGTGATCAAAATAATTTTAGTTGGAATACTTTAATTGATTGTCTATTGAGTTTTTAATTTTGAGGGAAAAAAAGAGAATTTTGTTTCCATTTCCTTTTCAAAATTCATCTACCTATCAGTTAATTTTCATAAAAACAAAAAAGGAAAGCGAAAGATTTGCTTTCTAAAATCCACAAACCAAACAGGAAGAAAAAATATTTTTTAGAGATCATTTCCCTTTTCTTATTACTGTGGCTCATAACCAAACAAGACGAGGAATTTAAACATTTCCAAAGGAATTGACTTTTCTTGTCTTCGATTTCATTTTCATTGCCAAATTTCTAGAACAAAAGGCCTTAGTACTAGGAATCCAGCAGCCCCCCCCCCCCCCACCCCCAATGCTAACACACTTATTAGTGTGAAGCTTAGATCAGCAGGAGTTGAAATTGATGAAAACAGATTTGATTTTTAAACTGTTCATCCCATGTCCATAAGACTTTTGGAAAGAGGATAATTTTGATTACATGGAGATTGATTTGAAAACCAAGAAAGTCTTGTGTTTGGATTGCATTTTCCGTCATTTTTCATGGAAAAATTACTGTAGCGATTTGATATATGTGAGGGAAAAAGGTGATAGGGAAATGTGATCACGGAAAACGATAATATTTTCCGACGAAAACCTTCAATCCAAGCAAGGCTTCTCCATTTCCAAATCAATGATCACATGATAAATTTATACAGTGTGACGCCATATTACATAATCAACTTTTTTGTTATTACTTTTTCATAATCAACTTAAGATAGCCATAGTCATACCTTAAAAAAAAAAAAAGAGAGACTTAAAGGTGGTTGGAAAGATAAAAAAGTGATTAAAATTTATGAAATAAATTATTTTATCTGAAATCAAATCAATCCAAACAAACCCATAATATTACCTTAAATTTCAAGTTTGCAAGTTACAACTTTGGGCTGAAGTGCCATTTGACATTGGGCGGCCAGTCACGAGTCACGACTGCAATTTATACTTTATAGTCTTTTTTAGATTTTTGGTCTTTTTGTAATTAGTGTCAAGATGCTCATCTGCCACACTTTCTTTGAATTGCACCCAATAATTCTTACCGAAGAAAAGTCAATTGCAGTGTCCTTTTTGACATTTTTGGTGATTTGATGAGTTAGATTAGGAGGTCATGCTTTATTGTTTTTTCCGCTGTGGTGATTACTTGGATTTGGAAGTCATTTTTTTTCCCGGAATCCAGGACAAATAGTTTTGTTTATATGATACACAAATATTGGCCTAATAATAATGTGTGCCGCTGTTTTCTATAAATGTTGAAAAGGAAAGATCAGGAATCAGTCACCTAATTTGAAGTATAAATATTTGGTAGACATTTTATTTTATACGGATGATTGCGATTGCGAGAAAAAATTTAAAAGAAAAAAATCCTTTACTGTAAGAAGTAAAAGATTCTTTATTTTAATCTGCTTCTCTAACTCATTGCAAACTGTGCCCCTTCCGTTTCATTTTAATATAAAAAGTACTCTTCCTTGAAAACGATGTTTAGGGGCCATAGAAACTAACAACTCTTTGAAAATCTGCCAAAAGAAAAAGTAGCAACCATTGTTCCCAATCATTTTTCCTTTCACCATAGCATTCTTCATTGTCACCAACTCACCAAAGGCGCAGAAGATCCGTAGAGTAGCTTCATCATCAACATCCGTGTTCTGGACTGATCAACTTGTGAGCCCCGAATCATTCGAAACAAACTTGTTTTGTCTGCTACTGTGAGTTTTAGTTTCCTTCAACTTCATTGCATTTTCAATTTTAAAAAATTTCTTTGCGGTTGTGTACGACTGATCAATAAATGGCCTATAATACCAATGAATTTTTTTCCTTTCTAAATCTGCTTCTCCTTCTCATTACTCTTTTAACTTTTTTCAATTTGTATTTTCTAGGTATTTGTGTACTCTATTATCCATTCCGAGGTCATAAAAAAAAAAAAAAAGTGAGCCTGCAACTAAATTAAGAAGCCAACGTTGAACTGAATCCTAAAAGCCAAGTTATTTGGTGGGGCTGTTTCCGACCTGCGATTTGGAGATACGGCTGTTGCTTGACAAAAGGTTAGTTACGGGTAAAAGATACCAATATTGTTGACTATTTTCTTTTTTTCTTTTTTTTTTGGGTTTGGTGATGTTGGTGCTGGAAATGCACGGCCTCTCTCTCTATATATCTGTAGAAGATTCATGTCTAGATTAGTCTAGAAGTAACACCTTGTGATTTCCACCGCCTCAACTTTATAGGAAATAATCCTTTGCTTTCTAGAAATTCTCACAGCCTAGTATCATATGTAAATAGCAAATAGGAGTTACGATTCATTAGCAAGCTTGGATAAGTTTCCTAGCTTATTACTACAACGGATCTTTTGTCTCATATCCTATACTATTATCTATTCCATTTTTTATTACATTGCTATTTCTCCTATATAGATATCATATTTTAATTTATTTTATTTTCTTAAGATTCAATAACTATTAATTGAATAAAAAATAAATACAACAACTTCAAAAAAGTAATATATATAGTATAAAATTAAAAGATACAGTAGAAAATTCATAAAAAATCTCATTTTTTATTTGAGTTTTTTGGTTTAATACTACTACCAAATAGTAGAATATTACTGTCATTTAATATGAAAACCACTCTTCCGGGAAAATGATGTATAGGGGCCAATTTGCTAATTTAGAAAGTAACATATCTTTTAAAAATTTTGCTAAAAGATAAGTAGCAGTTTGGTAGAAAATTTGCGAAAAGTCAAGTAGCAACTTCCATTTTCTTTCTTAAAAAAAAAAAAATTGATTTAGATCCCATACTCTTTTGGATTAATGCATCAAAGGATAACTTCTTGTCGCTGGTCGTTCTATTTATTACCCCTACCAAATGGGATGCAAGTTTACCCAAGCAATTGCTCCATTATCTTCAAATAATGCAGACTACATTTTAATTTCACTGTTTTCTTAAGATATCCTTGTTTCTTGGAATTTCTTCGATCACAGACTCTATACCAAACCTTTTCTGCAACTTTAGTCGTCACAATTTTTTATTTCACTACAGCATTATTTCTTCATTACCACCAATTCACCAAAGGAGTAGAAGAGGTAGAGAAGCTTCATCAAGCTGTGGACTGACTTGTGATCCCAAATCATTTGAAGCACTCGTAAGTTTCATTTTACTTTGACTCGACCACATATGTAATTTTCAATTTTTGCAATTTCTTTGCATTTTGCTAAAATTTGTGTCATATGTTCTTAGAAAAATATTGTTCTTTATTTTTATTTTTGTTATTGTTAATATTTTTTTAAAAAATAAATTTTACAATCAGTTTTCCAGTTTCCATTCAAGTTTGCATGTGAAGGTTTGAAGTTGAGATTGAGGTGGTCAAAACAATTTTAGTTAGAATATTTTAATCGATTTTCT